TTCCATATAGAGATGGTGCAGCAATGTGGCCCATTTGTCTTTGGGCACCCTTGAACGTGCCTGATTCTCAAAAATTTCAAAAAAATTCATCTAAGTCTGTTTCGTTAAACTTAGGTACCATTAGAGCTGCTTTATGCAGTCAAACCCGGGTTACCGTGCTCTTCACGTCTCTTTCTTCGGGAACTCCCTTCTGCTTTGTTTCAAAACGAAACCTTTCACCCTAAATTCTTCCTCGTTTAGACGTCTTCTAGCTTCGATTTGAGAGTTTTGTAATAGTAATATGCGTTCTATTCTCTCTAGTTGTTCGGGGCGTGAAATTCCCAAGAGGTAATGACACCGAAGGGAATTCGGGGTCTTCTCCGGAAGTATTTTTGGAAGAGCACCAGTCCTAAAATTATCCCCGTCATTTGACTGAGGGTTCGTTCCAACCACCCATACATACTCCGGGAAATGAACGGGGAAAAAGCTTTGAGACTGGACTGAGTAGTAAGGCCTTGTAAAACCTGGCTCAACTTCATTATTTAGGCAGTTCCCCTCCGTGGGATTTCTACTTCCTCGAACTGAGAAATTAAACTATCTTCCAAATCTAATTCTGGCATTGCTTGGGATTTCGGGAAAAAATCTATCCTTAATTAGGGACCTAAGAGTCTTGCGCTAAAGGTATCTATTATAAGGTATATCTAACTGTCTAGCTATTTGCCAACCCCGTCTGTAATTTTAAAGTGTCAAGAGTAGCTCTGTTAATTCATCTAATAATGACTTAATTTCTGGATCCATTTTCTTAATTCTCGCAAGGGAGCTTAATTTTAATGCAAAACAAATAAAGTACTTCAGGGTAAGTGCTCCCGGGCAGACAACCCATTTGTTAGACTTAATCTTCACCGTAACCCTAGGGCACAAATAACTCCATTTTTTTTTTTTAGTTTTATTTTTTACCAAACATTTAGCTTCATTGGTATTTTGGGTTAGGAATTAAATAACCACAAGCAATTATAAATGAAACACTATACAGCAAGAAACCCGATCTTACGTTCAAAAATTTTCATTAACAGAGTTTGATACAATAATTTCAATTAATAATCTACTCTTTTAGAAAGGTCTAGGGTAACGAAATAGTTATCTTTCATAAATGCATGAATTACCAGACTAATGGCAAAGGCAAGACTTGGTATAAAGTTTTAGTTTAAGCTAGGAGCTTTGGGTTGAAGACCGTACTGAGTCAGAGCTAGGAGCTGACTGACTCACTCACTACTTCATAGTATGACTTCAGCTCTGCCGAAGGCGACGCGTGGCATTCAATTCTAGAAACCACCAATTGGCACTACAGTATGGTTACACATTCGTAATACCTAACCTAATAATAATATAATATAATATTATAGTTATAATAATCATGGGGAAAGATATAATATAATACAATATAATACAAAGAGAGTACTTTTGATGATTCATACTGTACCCGATAATAATATATAGTCGAACCTGCTTTATCTAGCTAGTAATAAAGTGGTTCGCGATATATTATTACAGAACTTATTTTAACCAGGCCTTTTATTTTTGTATATAATGGAGTGAAGTAGGGGCGCATAACACTGTGTTGTTGATGCTGTGTCTTTAATGGTGACATACTGATACCTATTAGTAAGGTAAGATTTGAAATATGCAAGCGCATGACCTCTTATACCTTTTATCATGTATTCTATTCTTAGTAGAGTAGTAATTGTGCATGTCTTCTTCAGTTTGTGAGCATTAAAATTAATATTTCATGTGGTAAAATTTTTTTTTTCATACTTTGGGGTTTCAGGAACGGATTAATTTGATTTCCATTATTTCTTATGGGGAAAATTAATTTGGCTAACGATAATTTCGGCTTACAATGAGCTCTGAGGAACGGATTAATATCGTAAGGTGGAGGTCCACTGTATTTTTGTGTGGTTTTTATGGTTGTATTCTCATTTTTTTGGTCTCATTTGATAGAATGGAAGATATATTACAGAAATAGACATGATTTTGATTGGTTTCACAGTGAAAAGTACCTTGAAATGGAGCTCAAAGTAGCGGAAATGTTCAAGAGTAAACATATAACGTCACTGTCCAATATGTGTCCGAGTGGCCAGTCTAATACGCAGTCACGAATGGATTGACATTATTTATACAACTATTACAATAATGCAGTAGTCTGCCCAACAGTAAATCTTCTACATTTTGTATGAATAAAAATTCAAAATGGAAAGCAAGAGTAATATAAGAGGGGCCTGGAGACATGACTAATGAACATAGAAAATGTTATTTTAATGCCAGGAATGTCTGCATTGTTTATTCTGGACCAAATTTTGAAATTGGCATGTTTTGAAATTTGTGTGAAATTGGCCAGATTGCCAATTTCTGACCACTTTTTGATGAAATAGGTGAATGGGCAGTTTCTTGTACTCAGTTGACAGAATAGAAGTAAGTTTATTCAGGTATACACAAATACAGTTGTATAGATTATCATACATAGCAGCATATGTGTAGAGACCCTTGGATACCCCAAAATAGTCAAAGTGACTTATTTCCATTGGGGTCCTTGAAGACTATAGTGTAGTCGATGGGTTTTAACGCATAATGAACCAGCTAGCTGTTTTGTATGACAAAACAGAAACAGGAACAGATCTTGCAAGATCTGTTCTTGTTGCACTGAAGCGAAGGTTCAGTGCAACGCTTGTATATGCCTTGCTGAATTTAAACATCACTACAGAACGAATACTAGCAAAATAGCTATGAGTTTGGTAGACTGGAACAATGGAATGGGTGAAAAATAGGGCATAAATTGAATGAAATCGCCGATGCATAAATATCACTGTTGGGTTAAGTGTATTCTAACCTGACTACTCTGTAATCTGGCACAGTCACTAATCCGGCACCCTACAGGTCCCAGTGATGCTGGGCAAGTGATGGCCGACCTGTACTATGTAAAGTAAACTCTCACTTAGCAAACAGGTTATGTTCTTATAAATCAACATGCACTGTAAATTCATGCTATAGGAAGTGAATAACATATGAGAAAATTAGGGTTACATTCCAAAAATCTTAAAGTTCAGCATCCTGCCACAATAATCACGCGATAATAGTTCACGTCTTCAGTATTCTACAATTTAAATTTAAGCTTTTGTTTCCAAAAGAAGTGTTCTGTTTCCATTAGGGTACACATCAGAGCTGAATTCATTTCCATTGCTAGCGCACATTTCCACTGCAGCTGGCAAGTAGGAGACCCATCGCTACACATTGGGCAACTCCATTTATTTTAGTAATGCAAGGGAGGGTGTGAGGGAGAATGAATTGATGCAAACAAACAGTCTCCCCTTTTCCTTGTTTTCTTTGCCCCATCTTGTCGCTGGATATTTATCAAAGTGCAGGTGATGCTGGTGAGTCTAAAAAAAAATTAAGCATGAAACTTGATTATTAAGGTAGTCATGTTGTTAACCCTTTGACTGTTTCGGCCGTACGTATATGTCTTGCGAGCCAGTGTTTTGGACGAATATATACTCAATTCTAGCGGCTTCAAATCAAGCAGGAGAAAGCTGGTAAGCCCACATGTGAGAGAATGGGTCTGTGTGATCAGTGTGCACTGTATAAAAAAAATCCTGCAGTACGCAGTGCATAATGAGAGAAAAAAAACTCCGACTCTGTTTTTGGATTAAAACGCCGACTTTGAGGTGAATTTTCCTATAGTATTTATGGTTGTATTCTCGTTTTCTTGGTCTCATTTGATAGAATGTAAAACACATTACAGAAATATGTAGTGGAACTGTTTGATTTTTACCAATGTTCAAGAGTAAGCAAATCACACCACACGTCCAATACACATCACCTGGGGAGTCTAATATTCTTTCACTAGTGCACTGATGTTATTTATATCATTTTTACAATAGTGCAGTAGTCTGCATAACAGTACATCTTCTATTTTTTGTGTTTACCTGGAGTTTACCTGGAGAGAGTTCCGGGGGTCAACGCCCCCTCGGCCCGGTCTGTGACCAGGCCTCCTGTGTGAATAAAGAATCAAAATAGAAAGCAAGAGTAATATAAGAGGGGCCTGGAGATGTGACTGATGAACAGAGGATATGTTATTTTAGTGCCAAGAATGTCTGCATTGTTTATTCTGGATCCTATTTTGAAATTGGCATCTTTTTTAAAATTGCAAGAAATTGGCCAAATTGCCAATTTCTGACCACTTTACTGGGTAGTTGAAATTGGTAAATGGGCAGTTTCTTGTACTCAGTTGATAGAAAAAATGGAGTTCTAAAGAGATACCTATGAGTTTGGTCGACTGGAACAATGGAATTGGCTGAAAATAGGGCTCAAAGTTGGCGAAATCGCCGATGTGTATACATCGCTGAGATCGCTATCTTCATGGGAGCGTAATTCCGTAAGTTTTCGATCAAATTTTGTACTTTTGGTGTCATTACTATCAGGAAAAGATTCTCTATCACTTCATATGAAAGATTTTTTTTTTTTTTTTTTTTTTTTTTTTTTTTTTTTTTTTTTTTTTTTTTTTTTTTTTTTTTTTTTCCAAAAAAATTTTTTGACACCAGGAGACACTTCAGGATTTAGGGTTGTGACAGTCAAAGGGTTAAATTAGGCAGTGGGGGGATGGTAAGTGGGGGGGGAAGAAAGAGTTTCATATATTTACTGAACCATAAAGCTAACTAACTTCAGGTTAAGTTCATTGTATGAGTCAGGTTGACCATGCAGTACTGACTGACCCTTGCGAGTTTAGTGCTTTCCATAACCTAATTTAACTTTAGAGTAGTCTTACACAGACTGTCCATGTTTACATAGTTTCTTGCTAAATTAGACTGCCAGCAGTAATTTTAGGCAATAGCATCTAATTCATTATGTGATACACTTGAAAGTTTCTTTTCTTGTTTATAATGTCTGATTTGCAGGTGTTACCACATACCTTGATAACATGAATAACATATCTCAAAATAAGTAGCCTGCATGGAATTTATCTCCTACAGAAATTCATCCTTCGTGGAAGTCATTACGGAGAGGTGGCAGCTCATCTCTTTGGTGTAGTTAGCGGTCAAATTCAGAGTCAGCAAGAGTTCGAGAAGGTCACTTACCAGATTACCAATGTGAAAAATTTGGTGTGTGTAATATATAAATTATTTTTATTTTTGATTTTTAGCTAGCAATTTATGCAGTATCAAAATTTATCATTATCTAATATTTCTCTTTTTTTAAAAAGTATTGTAGCATTTTGATGTTTCAGAATCAAATGTCTGATTTGAAGGTAAAGATATAAAATAGTGTGTACGAATATAGATTCATATTTGTAGGTAAAGATATGATAAAAAGAATGGTAGGGTATAGATTCATATTTGTAAGTGAAGATATGATAAAAGGGATGCAGTATTTAAATTGATCAAATTTACCTTGAGAATAAAAATTTAGTTTTTCCTGTCAGCGTGTGGACAGTCAAGAGAGCTGCGTGCTAGCAGTGGGTCACAGTTATGCTTACAACATTAATAACATGAAGAAGTCTGGAGTCTACCTTGAGGACTGGCCAGCTTATGAATCTATTGTTCATGACCTAGGTAAGTCCCAATACTGATTGTGCTATATACTAAGAATATAAACTACAATTAATTTTTCAGCCAATCTGCAATTTGATAAGAGCTTCTGTAATAAAGTATCAGTTGAGTTCATTATTTTGACATCTTTTATTTGGATGGCTTTTTCCATTTTATGTTTAAAGGATACTATTTTTGATTATACAGCAGTACATGAATATTATGCAGTTCTTATATTTTATAAATGCTGCTGTACTATAATTGTGTTTTGTTTTTTATTTTCATAGTGCATCAGATGCTGAGCGAGAGCAGCCCTATTCAGAATGCTTTAGTGATAGCAATAGGAGAGATGGCCAGACAGAGCACTCTGCCTTTACCAGGTGTTGCTGAAGTGGACACCAAACAACTCTCATCTCTTGCCTTGGTCAATGCTCTTATTAAGATATTTAACAACAAGAAACTTCCATCTAAGGTATTCGGGCAGTGCAACATAATGTAAAAATGAGCACCTAAAGCATATTGTGAACAGTATTATAGCTGAAGACTTTCTTTGGATTATTAACCTCAGAGGATTAATAACCAATGATAACCCAAGAAAATCAATCAGTATATGTTATTTCCACTGGGGTCCTCTAGAATGTGACTTGCAACAGATACCTCATTACTACTAGGTGAACCTGGGCTTCAGGCTTAAGAAGACTTATCTATGCCATGCCTGGGATTTGAGCTATACATACCATGAATCATTGTAAAGAGATACATCATAAGAACACAAACCTGTTTTAAGATGGTGGGAATGCCACCAATCTAACCCAAGTTTGTGTACAGGTCTTCCTCAACATTCCCGAGGGTTAAGGGATCAGGAACCTCACAAATGTTGAAAAATCACGAATGCTTGGTGCCCTAACCTATTGAACCATGAACAATCATAAAATACATGAAAACATCATAAAACATTGTACTATATACATACATGTTATAGTTTAATAACAAGTATGTTATTAAATACCACTGCCTCAACCATTGCCTCTACCATTGCCTCAGCCACTGCCTCTACCACTGCCTCAACCACTGCAGCACACTGCCTCATATTTTTGTACAATTTCTTTCTTCAGTTCTATCGTGTTTCTCAATTTGTTTACCACTAGCAAGTTTCTTTGGGCTCATGGTTAATTATGTAGCAAGTGCACTCAATCTACAAGCACCAAACACAGTGAATTATTGTGAAATGTTTGGATGAGCGCAGAGGCTAATGCTCACTACAACATAAACAAAGCCACACTGACTCACAGTGCCTCAACCACTGCCTCCACCACTGCTTCAACCCTTGTATTTTTTTACAATTTCCTTCTTCAGTTCTATCGTATTATGTATTATTTTTTTTTTTCAATAAGTCGGCCGTCTCCCACCGAGGCAGGATGACTCAAAAAGAAAATATTTTCATCATCATTCAACACTTTCACCTCACTCACACATAATCACAGTTTTTGCAGAGGTGCCCAGAATACAACAGTTTAGATTTTTTTTTTTTTTTTTTTCTCTCTCTCTCTCTCTCTTCAACAAGTTGGCCGTCTCCCACCGAGGCAGGGTGACCCAAAAAAGAAAGAAAATCCCCAAAAAGAAAATACTTTCATCATCATTCAACACTTTCACCACACTCACACATTATCACTGTTTTTGCAGAGGTGCTCAGAATACAACAGTTTAGAAGCATATACGTATAAAGATACACAACATATCCCTCCAAACTGCCAATATCCCAAACCCCTCCTTTAACCCTTTGACTGTTTCAGGCCCCTCTCTGAAACTGTCATTCTATGTCGCTCAATTTTTGAAAAAAAAAATTATTTTTTCTTATGAAATGATAGAGAATCTTTTCCCGATGGTAATGACACCAAAAGTTCGAAATTTGGTCGAAAACTCATGGAATTATGCTCCCGCGAAGTTAGCGGTCTCGGCGACATATGCGTATCGGCGATTTCGCCAAATTTGAGCCCTATTTTCAGCCAATTCCATTGTTCCAGTTGATCAAACTCATAGCTATTTCTTTAGAACTCCATTTTATCTATCAGCTGAGTACAAGAAACCTCCCATTTACTAATTTGGACTACCCAATATGGTGGTCAGAAATTGGCAATTTGGCCAATTTCACACAAACTAAAAAAGATGTCAATTTCAAAATAGGGTCCAGAATAAACAAGGTAGACATTCGTGGCACTAAAATAACATATGCTCTGTTCATTAGTCACATCTCTAGGCCCTTCTTATATTATTATTGCTTTCTATTTTGATTTTTTATTCATACAAAAAAATACAAAATTTACTGTTATGCAGACTACTGCATTATTGTAAAAATGGTATAAATAATATCAGTGTGCTAGTAAAAGAATATTAGACTCCTCAGTTGACGTGTATTGGACGTGTGGTGTGATTTATTTACTCCTGAACATTGGTAAAAATCAAACATTTCCGCTACTTTGAGCTCAGTTTCAAAGTCGTTTTCATCGTCAAAGTAATGAAAATCATCTCTATTTCTGTAATATTTTTCCATTTTATCACCTAAGACCATGAAAATGCGAATACAACGATAAATACTATACGAAAATACACCTCAAAGTCAGCGTTTTATTCCAAAAAAACGATCAGTTTTTTTTTTTCTCATTACGCAATGTGTGCTGCAGGATTTTTTTTATGTGGTGCACACTGACCACACAGACCCATTCTCTCAAATGTGGGCCTACCAGCTTTCTCCCGCTTGATTTGAAGCCGCTAGAATTATTGAGTATATATACGTCAGAAACATTGGCTCGTAAGACGTATTTATACGTCGAAAACAGTCAAAGGGTTAAAGTGCAGGCATTGTACTTCCCATTTCCAGGACTCAAGTCCGACTATATGAAAATAACCGGTTTCCCTGAATCCCTTCACTAAATATTACCCTGCTCACACTCCAACAGATCGTCAGGTCCCAAGTATCATTCGTCTCCATTCACTCCTATCTAACACACACGCACGCTTGCTGGAAGTCCAAGCCCCTTGCCCACAAAACCTCCTTTACCCCCTCTCTCCAACCCTTTCGAGGACGACCCCTACCCCTCCTTCCTTCCCCTATAGATTTATATACTTTCCATGTCATTCTACTTTGATCCATTCTCTCTAAATGACCAAACTGCCTCAACAACCCCTCTTCTGCCCTCTGACTAATGCTTTTATTAACTCCACACCTTCTCCTAATTTCCACACTCCGAATTTTCTGCATAATATTTACACCACACATTGCCCTTAGACAGGACATCTCCACTGCCTCCAACCGTCTCCTCGCTGCTGCATTTACCACCCAAGCTTCACATCCATATAAGAGTGTTGGTACCACTATACTTTCATACGTTCCCTTCTTTGCCTCCATAGATAACGTTTTTTGACTCCACATATACCTCATATATATGTATAAAAATACACAATATATCCCTCCAAACTGCCAATATCCCAAACCCCTTCTTTAGAGTGCAGGCATTGTACTTCCCATTTCCAGGACTCAAGCTGGTTATATAAAATAACCGGTTTCCCTGAATCCCTTCACTAAATATTACCCTGCTCACATTCCAACAGCTCGTCAGGTCCCAAATACTATTTGTCTCCATTCACTTCTATCTAACATGCTCACACACGCTTGCTGGAAGTCCAAACCCCTCGCCCACAAAACCTCCTTTACCCCCTCTCTCCAACCTTTTCAAGGACGTCCCCTACCCCGCCTACCTTCCCCTACCGATTTATGCGCTCTCCATGTCATTCTACTTTGATCCATTCTCTCTAAATGACCAAACCACCTCAACAAACTCTTCAGCCCTCTGAATAATACTTTTATAAATCCTCAGCTTCTCCTAATTTCCACACTCCGAATTTTCTGCATAATATTTACACCACACATTGCCCTTAGACAGGACATCTCCACTGCCTCCAACTGCCTCCTCGCTGCAGCATTTACAACCCAAGCTTCACACCCATATAAGAGTGTTGGTACTACTATACTTTCATACATTCCCTTCTTTGCCTCCATAGATAACATTTTTTGCCTCCACAGATACCTCAATGCACCACTCACCTTTTTTCCTTCACCAATTCTATGATTAACCTCATCCTTCATAAATCCATCCGCTGACATGTCAGCTCCCAAATATCTGAAAACATTCACTTCTTCCATACTCCTCCTCCCCAATTTGATAACCAATTTTTCTTTATCTAAATCATTTGATACTCTCATCACCTTACTCTTTTCTATGTTCACTTTCAACTTTCTACCTTTACACACACTCCCAAATTCGTCTATTAACCTTTGCAATTTTTCTTTAGAATCTCCCATAAGCACAGTATCATCAGCAAAAAGTAACTGTGTCACTTCCCATTTTGTATTTAATTCCCCATAATTTAATCCCACCCCTCTCCCGAACACCCTAGCATTTACTTCTTTTACAACCCCATCTATAAGTACAGTGGACCCCCGGTTAACGATATTTTTTCACTCCAGAAGTATGTTCAGGTGCCAGTACTGACCGAATTTGTTCCCATAAGGAATATTGTGAAGTAGATTAGTCCATTTCAGACCCCCAAACATACATGTACAAACGCACTTACATAAATACACTTACATAATTGGTCGCATTCGGAGGTAATCGTTATGCGGGGGTCCACTGTATATTAAACAACCATGGTGACATTGCAAATCCCTGTCTAAGACCTACTTTTACTACGAAGTAGTCTCCCTCTCTTCTACACACCCTAACCTGATCCTCACTATCCTCATAAAAACTCTTTACAGCATTTAGTAACTTACCACCTATTCCATATACAGTGGACCCCGCTTAACGATCACCTCCCAATGCGACCAGTTATGTAAGTGTATTTATGTAAGTGCGTTTGTACATGTATGTTTGGGGGTCTGAAATGGACTAATCTACTTCACAATATTCCTTATGGGAACAATTTCGGTCAGTACTGGCACCTGAACATACTTCTGGAATGAAAAAATATCGTTAACCGGGGTCCACTGTACAGTGGAGCCTCAAAAATCGAACTGCTCCCAACACGACCAATTATGTAAGTGTATTTTTGTAAGTGCTTTTATAAGTGTATTTTTGAGGGTTTGAAATGGACTAATCTAATTTACATTATTCCTGATGAGAATAAATTCATTTGGTAAAGGCACTCGAACAGCCTTCTGGACCGAAGAAAGTTCGATATTTGAGGTTCCACTGTACTTGCAACATCTGCCACATTGCTTCCCTATCCACTCTATCATATACCTTTTCTAAATCCATAAATGCAGTAAAAACTTCCCTACCTTTATCTAAATACTGCTCACATATATGCTTCAATGTAAACACTTGATCTACACATCCCCTACCCACTCTGAAACCTCCTTGCTCATCCGCAATTCTACATTCTGTCTTGCCTCTAATTCTTTCAATAAGAACC